TTATGCAATAGATTAAATTGGCGGAGGTGCACGTGAAGTGATCGGTGATCTTAATGGATCGTTTGGGTCCCGATATTTTCTCAGTGTTGTGCACGGGTATCAACGAACGCTTTTCATTCCACTAATTTATTCGCGTTTAACTCGTTGCCATGTTCCCACCAATCACGTAGCTCCTTTTTCTGCCTTTAAAAGCACACACAACCCACAATTCCTCTATTCACTCCGACGAAGGGCTAACGCCCGAAACGTTAGCTTTTATAATCGTAACGGTGGCCAATTAATCATTTCAACTTTGATATATTCAAATTCTTCTGATTGGCTGCAGTGTATATTCTGGGGGAGTGTTTACTCCAGAAAATATGGTTATGCCATAAAATTGTTTTTGCAGATGTTGTTGCCACAGGCTCTGGTCGCCGCCTCGTTAGCTCTTCACCTCATTCAGTCATCTCTTAGTTCAAGCAGTGCGAAAATTACTCCTTCGCCCACAATAACATCAAATGCATCACATTCTACCGTTGGTACGACCTTTCTAACAGTAGTGGACAGTACTACTACCAAACAGGTTATTGCTGGAGGCAGCTCCTTCCTCTCAGGGGCTGGAGATGGAATCACTACCGTATCAGTAACGGAGTCTGCAGCTTACCCTTTCAATCAGACTGCCAGTGTGTTTGCTGCTTACGGTAAGAGTTTATTGGTACCGTTAGCAAAAATAACAACTTGATTGATTAATACTTACAGTTATGTAAATTATTCTTCGTTATACAAAGACATTTTATGACCTGGTTTCATAGTAAACCTCATTTATCATGCTCATCTGCGAAGTGGTTTAAATCAGTGAAAGCTGCGTCGTTTAAATCATGACCCACAACTGAATATGACTAGTACCTGGAGAAAAAGTCAGAGGCAGCTTACGATCAAATGCATTTTAACCGAAAAAGATATGCTTTGTTTGGATTCTGTATCTACAGTAAGTTGGTCTTCATGGAGTGTAGAAGATACTGGTGATTGCCAGAAAAAATGTTGTGACACAGGGGGCCCAGCGATTCGCCAGATAAGAAATTGTACGATCATAATGGAGCGATGCAAAGGTCTCAACAGATGCTCACATTATGGACCCGTGGAGCGAGATGTATCCTGTTACATAGTCTGCGATTGCATGCGCAGTCTCGGTTAGTTGTTTTCACCATTCTATTTCACTTTCCTCGCAACCAAAGCCCTGTGCATGTCACCGACCGTGTGACTGACTGAGGTCCCATGTTGTGGACTTAGGATAACTGAGACATGGAAGCATGTAGTGAGCCAATTATGAGAGATGGAAATGCATTTTAGAAATTTGTACGCAAAACCAATTGACAAAAACTGTGCAAACGGTACAGCACACGTTGCTTTGCATATTTGACTCACTTTCAATCCCTAGAAATAAAGTTCTCTCCCCTTGCCAACAAAAGAGAAAAATAAATGGTTACCTCGTTTGTCTAAACCATAATTTTTTCTTACCTGCATAACATTTGAGAAAGTATGAATATCAAGGAAACGAGAACTTCATTTGTGACTGTCGTAATTTGTTGCAGGGCACTCTTTGGATGCTCCAGAGATTATCATGATCATGTCAAATATTCTGGCAGTTATTTGGTAAGATGCAGCAGTAAACTGAAAATGTGTTCTTAGTTTGTGACTAATCACTGGTGTAGATATGTTATAAAGGATTCTCTCTGTTCCTCAACTGCTAATCCGGTCCTTTGGTCAACAAATAAGCTTAAGCCAAAGATGTTTCCTTGTCTCCTCACGAACGTGGGGAAAAATTGTGAGTCCCAGTGAGGAATGGAACGCAGACATCCGGATTCCGCGTTCTGATGCTCTATCACTTAGACGCAGAGACTCATCGGTGAGCTGGGCCTTTGCGAAGTTAATGAGCTTAAGGTTTGCTTGTTTTTGTTTATCAGAATTTTTTTTGTCTTTTAGTGTCATGATCACATCACGCTAAAAAGCCAGAGGAACGAGCACTTTTGAACTGGAGGACAGAACATCAGTACTATTAGAGTAGCTTTCGTGTTCTAGTCTTTGCTCCTTTTATAAAATTTCATATTATAAATATCTGATCTGATAAAAACTTTTCTTTTTCGATACATCACATTATTAATAAGGATAACGTAGAGTTAAAACGCTTTAAGCAGGGTATAAAAGCAGTAGGGTAGATAAGCCAAAAGAAAGAACTCAAGAGAGTTAAGCTCTGCCACACCTGCGCTCAAACCTCATCCTCGAGATCAGATTTTTATGGGGTCGTTGGCAGAGTTTTCAAGACTTCTTTTTAAACAACCTAACCTTCGAGAGCGGATTTTTATGAAGTCGTTGGCGAGATTTTCCAGAGTTCTCTTTTTAAAAGACCATTCAAGCATTTACATGTTGATAATTCTCACCTAGAATTATGATTTTTTTAAACGTCTTTTGTTGAAGGTTAATTCTTTTTAAACTCTCCAGCTCATGTTCATGTTCTTTTTGGCTTTCTTAAACGGTGGGTGCATCACTTATATGAATTCCATAAATGCCACATCAAGTTTTCGAATATTGATTCTTTATTCCTGGTGAAAGACTATTATACAACTCTGAGGAAAGGCCATTAATTTACTACAATTTTCATTAACAACGCATATGTTTTTGTTAGTTTGTGTACTTAGAATTATGTTAAAAAGGTACAAATGTACAATATCACCCACTTAACTGACGTGTAAATTATGATAGAGGTATCTAAGAGGTAAAATAAGCGAAAACTTGATTTAAATTCATCAATCTGCTTCCAATATGTTTTTTTGAGCGTTACATATTTCATGATGACTAAGTATTTTTACCAATATTTCTTCTGTAAAAGTTATGTAATTTTGCTGATAACCTAAAAAAATGAAAGACCCAGCTCTATAACGTCCTCGAGCCACTCTTTTTTCTGCTTTGCAACTGCTTAAAATCTCTTTCAAATTTTGCCAAAAGTAATTCCAGGATCAATCCCTTTTAATCGTCACTCGCTATTACAAGTGCGAATCACGATTGCACGAGGGAGGAGAGAGAAGGGAAGGGAAAGAAAAGGATAGCACAAATCGATTGTAGCTCGCCTCTCTAAATCATAAGAAGGAAAAGTGAAAGTGATGTATGATATGTTTTTTTTTTCCTTTTTCATGTCGGTTTGACCTGCGTAATTCAAAGGTTTTTTTCTTCAACTGCCCAGAAAAATTTTCTTTCGTAAGATAAGTACGCTGATGTATACAAAACAGAGCATTTTACACTTATTTGATCGGTGAACCATTAAGTTCTGAATGAAGTAATATATAGTTTCTTTAACAGAAATTATGGACCGTGGCTTGAGTTTCAAAGTAGCTTGACGGCGTTAATTTGTGTCGTAGCCGAACAAGTCGGTTTTCTCGTGCTACCTGCCTGAAGCAGTTGAAACTTGAACGTAAACAGGTTCTAGTTTGATTATCATAATCTTTAGCTAGACACAAATCTAAAGTGGTTTTACTTGATATAAGATTTTAAACCTTTACCCATCCTTATGGTTAATTTATTCCGGCTTCCAGGCAATACATTTTCTTGCATTCTCTTGCATGATATTTAAACTCGACTGAACGAGCACGAGTATACTCTTAATTTTTTTTTTCTTCGGACTTAATTTTCGTTACGTAAAATGTTAAAATCTGTAATGTAGTTAATATCAGAAAGAATCGCAATGAAACAAGCTTATGACAAAATTTTAATAATCATATCAAAAAATCCGCTGGAGATTTGTTTCTTGGATTTTTTTTGCACCGCCAGAGAGTTAAACATCCAAATATGCAAATCTAGAGACAAAGAGATTCCTACACGAAAGTCTCCGTGAACTCATCATCCAGCCCTTGATCATTTTGGGGAAGCGTTCTGTAACGGCTTGTGTTGGTAAACAATTTCTCAGTATCGGGATAACATGGTGTCGCTGATCTTGTAACATATGAAAAGAAAAGGAAAGCAATTAAATAGGATGCTCTCAGGTTGTATTGAGTGATAATCACCGGCCTAAAGGACTTTACAGAGAACTAACATCATGCATGTTTATAAATTTCCTTTTGTTTTAATCATACATCTCTCTTTGCTCGAAACTTCAAAGTTGATTTTTCAATTCAAGACAACAAATACATTTTTCTTGCAGAAATGAGAATACTCAGGTAATAATGTATAGCTGAAGTTATGAGGTATAGGACACCTTCAAATCGAGAAATCTTCTTTATCGATATCGAGTACAGGTCACTTTAGGAAGTTTAAGTTTTTACTCTTCTTGATTCGCAGACAATGCAAGATAGAGGTGAAAACTGTAGATTAAAACGGATATTTCAAAGACAGTCACAGATTGTGTGGGCGAGTGGAGTGATTATTCCCAAAACCTACTGTTAAGCACCAATGCGCCTGTAAATGCGCCTGTAAATAATACAGCCACTCGAATGTCCAAAAAAATTATATTTAATCATTTCGTTTCCCAATCGAAATAAAGAAAATTTGATAAGATAATCTTGGTTTTTGAAAATGTAAATAAAGATGAGAAGCGGCATCAGCATAGTATAAACCAACCTTTCTATTTGTAATCGCATTTTCAGGCTTTCCTATTTTAAACAGACCCTTAAATTTCAATTTGACATTTTTGCTTCAATTTTCATTACCGTTAAAAATGAATACATTTTCAACTTTCCTTGTAAATAAGAATTCATGCATGAAAGGACAGACGATGAAAATAAGAAACACTCCCACATTGCCGAATTTCTTAGTTGAAGTGTATTTTGAAAAGAAAAAGTGATAAATAAGTCTTTTTCTTTGGAATAATGTCGTTATCACTTATTAGTAGGTGAATCGATAATTTTTTTAGATCTTCGTTTCAGGAATGAAAGTTCATAAATTATTAGCTAAAACGCCAAAAGTAGCCAATTTACTCCACTCGGAACGTTTGATTAAATAATTAATAAGTGGAAAGAGTGGTTGTAAATTCGAACCCGGCCAAAGTATATTATTTCTTTTTATTGTGCATGAACATAACCAAAATCAATTGGAAGCTTCCTCTGAAGATTTAGCTGAAGAAAGACGATTACAAAATCGTTTTGCATAAAAGCATCTTTATAATTCCCACACGAGAATGTTCGCGAAAGCCGATCCCTGTACAAGCAGGTGGAAATTTGTGATATTTTTCAAGATGTTTTGCCGCTTTTGATTGGATGCTAGGCGTCAAAGGTAATTGGCTAGTGTTCTAATAACAGTTAATTGGCTCGTGTGCTAATAACGTTTAAGAACTCTAACAAATAAATTGTTTGTGCGAAAGCCTGAACGTTCTATTGAAGAAATTTCTTTTACTAGCCGGAGCGCTTTCCTCGATCTTTGAAACGGAGGGGCCTTCTTGTTCAAGATAACATGCAGTCTACCGGTTAAAACACTTGACATATATGAAGAAAGACGCGAAACGAACGTCAGCGTTGATTTAAAGTGAATACAATTCACGAGAAGCGCCCACTCGAGTATAAAGGAAGCAGGCCCATAAAGTGACTCGTTATGACAGAGTCGAGATCGTCTTCGCCCCTTCTGGGGAAAGAAAGCAAATCCGGCCATGAAGGCTCGGAAAATGAGTTAGAAAACAAAAACTCTTCTCTGGAAGCATTTTTCAATATCTTCAATGCCAACATGGGCACTGGGGTTCTAGCCATGCCGTATGTTATACGTCTGGCCGGCTACTGGGGAGTCATTCTCATCATTATCATCGCTGCTCTCGGTAATTACACCGGCAAACTTCTAATCTATTGTCTTCGAGAGGACACTGCGTATGAAAACCTCTCAAAGGCCACTTATGCCGACCTGGGTGAAGCATTCTGGCCCCGATATGGACGCGTCATGGTGCATATCACTAACTTCTTTGAACAGTTCTCGCACTGTACTCTGTTCCTTATCATGTGTGGAACTGTACTGCACCACACATTCCCAGATAGCTTCGTGTCAGAGAGCGTTTGGATCGCTGTGGTCTCCATTGCTGTGTTGCCGTGTGCTGGCGTCCGTACAATGAAGCACATTTCTTGGATCAGTATCTTGACTGTCATCGTGGCTCTGGTCACTTCAACAAGCGTGTTGGTATTTGCCCTGGGTCACTTCCATCAATGGAGGACTCACGAACTAGCGCCATTAAAATTCAAAGAAATGTCCATTGCCATGGGAATCATCGTGGTGACCTATTCATCGCAAGCTTATCTACCTATCATCGAAAAGTCCATGCGGTATCCAGGAGAGTTCAACGCCATCATGGATTTCACCTATACTGTGGTTACCATTATCAAATTCAACTATGGTATTCTGGTGTTCTTCTGTTTCAGAGAACACACAGAGCAGATTATGACACTTAGTGTCCCGCATGGTGCGTTCCGCATCACTCTTTCTCTCGCAGTTATCGTCACAGCACTTCTGTTTTATGTAGTTCCCATGTTCACGCTGTATGACATTTTTGAACACCAGCTCAATATTCCACTGTTTGCTGAACTAAAAGATGAGCCTCTTAAATGCAACTAGAATTCCATGCCAAAACTGGTATTTAGGTTCATGTTTATTTTGCTCTCTACTATTGTGGCAATTTTCGTGCCTCATTTCGGTTTAGTGATGGCCTTTGTCGGCAGTTTCACCGGCACTATTTTAGTGCTAATATATCCATGTCTTTTTCATATCAAGCTTCATTATTCCACTATGCCTTGGTATCATATATTGTTCGATGTGTCTATTGCTGTGTTTGGTATAGTAGGCTGTGTGTGTGGGGTAGTGTTTTCATCCATTCAGATTGCTAAAGAGTATGATTTTTACAGAATGTGGGGAATCGAGCCGGATGAGTAAAGAGGCTGGAGACTTTTATTTCACATAAAAAAAAACACAATTGTTATCTTAAAACCATCAACAGCTGGGAGACTATTTTAGGCTTAAATCTTGACTGACTTCAGAGAGCTTTCAAGATGAAAATAAATAACATTCGTTCTCACTTTCGTTCTCTGAACGAAACGTCTCCTTGGAAAATACGTTAGTCTTATCGCGCTAGCGGTACTTACTTAAACAACTAATAAAACAAGCTTAAGAAAATTTTGATTCAAAGGGAATGAAATATGTATTTTGATATCCTGAAAATTTTTATTTTAATTAAGGGACGGTTTGTAGCGGTCACGAAATGCTAATCAGTCGTTTTTACGATCGAGCTAGTACTGCTCAAAACTGCCCCTTTATCAGTAAAATAATTCTTGGTTTGCAAGAATAATTTCTAATTTTAGAAATATTTTCTGGAATTCCTACTTTTCGGTGTTCAACTAGTAGACTCAAACGTTTGACAAGCATTTAATTCTTACCTTAATCAAAACGAGAATTTGAAAATAGGACTGAGGAAATTGAAAGTAAAGCCAAGCAAATGCAATGGCAAGTGATTTTAAAATATAACAAGCGTCTCACAGGAGTATAACGATGTTAGTTATTATTATGAAAGAAATAAAATAAAAGTTCATTTCAAGGGAACATTAGCTTGTATGATTGATATACTACTTTACTGCATGGTAAGATATCTACATATAGCTGCACTATGAATATAATGTTTTGATTAAAGAGAAATATAAAATCCATTTTTAACTAACCCGCGCGAGGATTCTTGGATAAACGCCTCAACTGAAAGAAACGGAAAAACTTCAGCGAGGAAGGTCATATAGCTAATCACCCACGCAGGAACTTTTGAACGAAATTTTGTCCAGCCCAGAGAGGGAGCCTTACAGCTCACATTTTTTTTAAAAAAATTGTTGAAAAGATTGCCTGTATGGCGACATTGACCACATCTCCCACAAAAAAAAAAAAAAAGAAAAGATATATACATATACAAGACCGGCTTTTTGTCACTTTGTTATGTTTCTAATGTAAACAGGAATTCTTCATTTATTCTTCATTTAAGGCCTGTCTTAAAATAAATTCCAATAAATATGTTTTTCGATAAAGGTGGATTTAAGTACTGAATCAATGAAGAAAGCGAACGACGTTTCGATAATTCATGATAGTAATTTTTAAGGTCACGGTAGAAACCGTAATTTGCATAAACGATTGCGAGGCCATTAATTAGGTAAAACGATACCATGTGCACGAGATGTTATTTTTTAGTGGCTAGAAAAGACAGTGCATGAAAAAATAATAAATGTAAATTCAATTTTTTTCTCTCTTACCTGCTTATTTCTTGACATATTCAGAATCAATTTTAGTAAATAACTTGAAGCAGAGGCACTTCCGTTGAATTCTTTGGTAGGTTAGAATAAAGCTTGCTGATGTTTGGTTCTGATGTATATTGTGTCACGAGCGGCGAATAAAATAAAGGCCCGCAAAATGAGGTCACGTACTATCAGGTAGCCGATTTTTTCTGAGTCAGTATTTTCTGAAATCTGCGGTACATTCGGTTCAAGAGCGCTAAAGTGAATAGTCCTGGGTGCGTAGGAATGTTTTTTCTTATTTGCGTAAACTCAGTGAGTGAAAGGTTTGTAGGGAAATAATTTGAAAAAGAAAAAGAGAATAAGATCTTTTATTCAATGATAGACTAGAAAAATCCGATACATTTCATGGGCTTCTTGACCCAACACGTAGGATCAAGTTCAACTTATATGCACAGGTTACTCAGAAAAACAAGACAACAATAACACGCTCATAAAAAAAAATGTATGAGATTTTGCATGTGTGAAATTTTCTAAAACACCTAAAAAAATGTCCCAATCCTCAAAAAGAGAACATCAAGACGAAATTTCTCTATCTGCTACCGCGACAGAAGGTAATGACGACTCTCAGCCAGTATTCGACAGAGAAAAGTACAAAACTCACGACATTTTTGCCGCAAACAACAGTGAATGCCGCAAAACTGGATTGTTCCAATCCTCCAAGCAAAAGTTCTTGGAGAGCAGATCAATTTTCAGAAACCGAGTCGTCCCCTTTCAAAATGTAAAGTACCAGGAAGGTGACAAAGGCATCGTCATAA